TGAATCAAGAGACCGTGAGAAACAATTATCCCCTACCTCTGATTTCGCACATTCGAAATCGATTAGGAGGAGCACGATACTTCACGCGCCTTGATTTACCCGTTGCCTACGCCCACATTCGAATCAAAGATGGCGACGAATGGAAGACAGCATTTCGCACACCCTACGGACACTACGAGTACCTCGTTATGCTTTTCGGGTTAACCAATGCACCTGCGACATTCCAATCCGTCATCAATCACGCGATTCGACCCTATCTCGACAAATTCGCCATTTGCTACCTGGATGACATTCTCATCTACTCCAAGACTCTCAAAGAGCATAAGGAACATGTAAGAAAGGTACTGGATGCACTACACCAGCACAATCTTTCAGTTAACATGGAAAAGAGTGAATTCCATGTGAAGGAAACCGTGTTTCTTGGGTATCTGATCTCGGAGAATAAGGTCAGGATGGAACCAAGCAAGGTGGAAGCCGTATGGAACTGGCCTGTTCCTAGGAACGCGACCGATGTACGCGGATTCCTTGGGTTTACCAACTTCTATCGCAAGTTCATACGCGATTACGGAAAGATTGCCAGACCGCTGTACGAGCTTACCAAGAAAGAAGTCACCTTCACATGGGGAAACAAGGAAGAAGAAGCCTTCAGGGCAATCTGCGATGCAATTACCGCAGACCCGGTGCTAAAACTTCCAGACCCAAGCAAGCACTTTGAAGTCGAAACCGACACGTCAGATTACGCAATCGGAGGACAACTGGGACAGCGTGACGATCAGGGAAAATTGCACCCTATAGCTTTCTTCTCGAAGAAACTAGAAGGGCCCCGACGCAACTATCCCATTCACGATAAAGAACTCAGCCATCATCGAAGCATTCCAAGAATGGAGGCCGTACTTCAGTGGCACCACACACGAAGTACAAGTCTACACCGACCACAATGACCTACGGTACTTCACAACCACAAAGGTGCTTAACGGCCGACAGACGCGATGGGCCGAGTTCTTGTCAGAGTTCAACTTCAAGATCAACTACAAGAAGGGATCGGAGAACGCTCGGGCCGACGCACTCAGTCGGTGAGCTGACCATGTGAAGGACGTGGCAGAAGCCTTTGCACCCTTGTTCCAGAAACAACCAGACGGATCACTCGTACACCCCCTACAGGAATGGGTAAAGTGTTGTGCCGTTTATCGGGCCAAACTGCAAGGCCCCGGTTACCAAGCTACCATTGCCACTCCTGAAGAGCGGCAGAAGTGGGAGAACAACCCAGAAGAAGGTGTCGTCCTCCAGAACGACAAGCTA